TACCGTAATATGATAAAATAACGAATTGCAAATTGTGTGATTTGATTGGCTAATAATCACATGTAGATCTACAAATTAATCTACAAAGCTAGCCAATCAGACGAATTTCTGTCTATGATAGTAACAATGGCTGCATAAAGTCTAGTGTTATCTCTGGGTTGACCCATATATCGTCTATTTGGCTTGATTACTTTGCCAAGTGGGGCTATTGATGTCGAAGAAATTGAATAGGCTAATCAAATTAGAATTGGCAAAATAAGTGATAAGGGTGGAAGGGTTACGTCTGTATGCATTGGAGTTAAAGTCTCCGACTATAATAGTATTATAATTATAGGATCTTGCTTGTTGTATCCAGTTGATAATTGTTTGCTGTGCAGAGTTTGTTTGGGCTGATGGTTGGGATAGAATATATACCCCAATTATTCGAATTTATTATTATTAGGTAAAAATAGATCAATTAGGAGTGTGTAATCTGGTATTGTTTTAATATTATATATGTATGGTTGTATATAGAACCTCAATGCGATGGCTACTCCTTTACCGATTATCTTGTGATTGCGTTGTATGCATCACAGTTTGCTGTGTAGACTTTGTATCAAGGGTTGAGTAGGCTGGCTGGGTGAGTGTAATCAGAGAATAACTTTGTTTCAGTCATAATGACTATGTCGGTGTCTAAGCTATTGCAATATTGAAGCCAAGTCATATATTTTAGATTGCCGTTTATTCTGTGCACATTGTGAACTACGATTTCTAAATGTGTGTTTGTATTTTTATTGAAAGGAGTTTGGACTATTGTGGTTTGTACATTTATTGTTTGTAATATGGAAACTGTATTGGAGATGTGGCTATTATAGATTGAATTGTCCAACAATAAGTCAGTTTCTGAATTTGTTCTACTCATGGCAAAACTGACATATAGTTATCAAAGATGTCCCAGTCGGGCGTTGGGAGGTCAGGTAGATCGTGAATATAGCTTGGGGGATCGTGATATTAAAATAGATGCTAATACTATCTAGTGTTGTTTCGATGTCTTTGTATGCTTTAATAGGTAATTGTAGCTGTAATCCGGGGTCTAGGGTTATTAACTGGTTTTGCAGTTCTTCTATAGTTACTGGTAAGGGTGGCTTTGTATCCTTGCTGGTGGTGCCTGTTTCTTTCGTTTGGATTTGTATCCAACTGGGTGGTATTTTATGGAAAAAATAGTGGATATGAAGTTCTCGTGCTATATTGACCAACTGCTTAGATGATGTAATTGGTATTGTTAGGTTCATTTCTTTGATTTGTGAGTAGTCTAATGGTAGGTCTGGTTTTTTTGTATAATTAACCTCCACATAATTCTTGGATAGAGGTTCTGGTGTTCTAAATTCTCTCTGTATTTCTGCGATAAATTGTAAGGCACTGGTCTTATCCTTGATTGGGAAGTTGTAGCTTCTGTCTGTCGTGAGTAGCTCGGGTTTAGCTGGTAGGGGTTTTTTGTGAACCATATAGTCATTAGGTAATCATTTAAATTTATAGTATTGTCTAAGCTTTGCTACCAAATCTCTGAATTCGCTATCGCTTTTGGGATTGCATGGAAAGAGGTGTCTAACCCTTGAGTCTAGGTCCTGTGGCGTTGAAAGTAAAACAAGTTTTTCAGGAGGTAGATCAAAGTAAGTTATCGGTAGTTTATCTCTAAAGATGTAGTATTTTTGCAGTTTGCTTTTATATTCGGACAGGTATTGTAGTTTGCTGCACTCCCTAACTGGAAAGAGATATTTAACTGCATTATAAAGTTGATCTAAGTGCCTCGGCAAGGGGATCTTGGGGTTCTGGAAGTATGAGTTAGGTAAACTTTCAAAGGTATATATAAGTCATAGTGATTTGACTGCGGCTGCCGTTTTACTATTATCTTCCAGTAGCAGTTTGAAAGGTAGAATATCAATGATATCTACTGGGACATCATCTGGTTTTTCTGGTAGCTCTAGGCGGTTGATTGATTGAACTTTGCTGATTATTTTTCTTGTTTGTTCGAATTCAATTATCATTTCTATTTTGCCAAAGTTTAACAGATAAAATATGTGCTAGGTACTGGTGTGATCACCAAGTTGGTCTAAGTTAAGGGTTAGGATGCTATCAATTGCGATTTTCTTCCTCAATTTGTCGTATATTTGATCACGATTATTTTTGTTAACTAGCAGTGCATTGTGTTTATGCTTATATTTTTCTATCGCTATATTCATTAGTGTATTAAACTCAATTTGGTAACATGGGTGGGTGTTTTTATCTCGTGAAAAGGATTTAAAGAAAGCTGTATCACGATATTTGAGTTTACTTGCTATGCCTTTGGGTATGTTTATCATTGGGGTCGTGGTTTGGATCTTATGGTTAATAAACTTCCTAAATAATGCTTCGTCAGTAAGTGCTTTTAGTATATTGTCATTGTTCCAGATGTCATGTTCAAAAGATTTCTTTTTCCTTTTCTCTAGTTCGTTGGTAATTTCCTCAATCTAGTAATTATTTAGGTTATTGTCTAGCTGTGTTGTTTTTCAAGCTGCTGCTTGGCTGTATGATAGCTTATTATGTTGCTTCCATTTATTTAGCTGTTGGTGAGTGATAGAACTGCCGTCTGACAGGGGGTTCAATCTGTTATCAGTGAAGTCATCTACTGTATCTATAGGTTGAAAATCATTTTTGCTCAGATTAGGGTGATCTGAGTTGGTATCAATTTGGGAGTTTTCAAGTAATATTTGTTGTTGTGGTAACGTCACTATAATTGTGGTCGTTGACTCTTTGAGCAATGTCTTGTCTGAGGGCTGGCTATTTACTTCTTGAGTAGTTTGGTTTTGGTCATGTGGGGTGTTTGATCTTTGTGGACTTGAAGAGATAGATGTTGTTTCCATGTTTTGATGGGTAAGGTCTTTAGTATCAGACATGGTATTGTATTTTACATGCTTATATGATGGTAAGCTATCAGTGGGTTGGTGTTCATGAACACCTTCTAAAATATTGATTTCAAACGTGTCCAAGAAGTGTTTGTTGTTCCTTCTCCTTTTGTTGATGTAGAGGGTGGGGTTCTTACTATCTTGTTACAATTTAACTTAGGTACCAGTCAATTCAAATGCTTATTTTTCGTTCAATAACAATTTTTGTTTACTTAGTGATTTTTAGGGGTTCCGAAAAGAGTTAGTTGACTCTCTTTATCGTCATTTTATTGATATTCATATTCTTTAATCATTTTTATTTCTATTTTGCTTAAATTATCTTAATTTAATTCAGTTTATTTTGATTTTTCTTGCTTCTTTCTTTAATCAATTTTTATTTTTTTTTCTTTCATTCTTTTTATTTTTTTATTTTATATTTTATTTTATATCCTTTATTATTTTAATATTCAAAATGTCTCAAAAATTGGACAAAAGTGCTAAACTTGATGCTAAAAGGCGTGCTAATTTTTTAAAAATGACTGCTGGCAGTAACATATCTCAGTTAGATATAGCGCAGACTGAATCGCAAAGTCATAAAACAACTAGAACTACTACATGTTATTCTCCTATATCTTCTAATAGTTAAAATTAATTTATAATATTTTGTTTAATTCATAAATTTCATATTTAGTGTTATTATTTTATTTTACTTAAAATTATTTAGTTCATTCAGAAATAGCTGAATTATAAAAGTTGATTTTAAATTTTACTGAGAAAGTTGATTGTTTAGAGGAGAAGATTTCTGATATAGATAATAGAATGTCAGCTGGTCTGAACGATTTGAATGAAGTCAAATTTATTAAAGTAATTTTAATTTTATATTTATTATTTATAATTAATTTAATTTAATTTAATAATATTTTTTTTTAATAGCAAACATATGCATCTGTTTCAAAACAATTAATAACATATAACATTTACCCAACTAAGAATGATTTAAAAAAAGCAACTGAAGAATACTTAATTCAAAACGAAACAGATTTTTATGAAAATATGGAGACTAGGCAGTGAAATACATATTACGAGGATAAACTCGCAAAATCTGTAAATGTTATATATTTTAAATTATTTTGCAATTATTAAAAATAGATTTCTATAAATAAATTCAATATAATAATATTTGAATTTTTAATAATTTCATTTTTGGCAAAATTTTAATAACTAATTCGCTTATTTAAATAATCATATCTGTTTTATCTTGATTTTTACTATTTTAAAAAATTTAATTTAATTTGATATGGGGTTCGGGTCTCATAGCTTAATGGATAAGCTCCTGTCCCCCTACAGACAAGGTCGACAGTTCGAGTTTGGCTGGAGGTAGAATACTCTGTAACCTAAAAAGGAGCCTATAATCATACGCAAAGTCCTGTGAAAGTCCAAGTGAAGGTACACGTTCAGTTTAAGGAATTCTCAGAAGGAAACCGGTACAGCAGAGCACGGGCACTACTATAGTGAGAAATGTGGAGAATGTTGCCGACATTTGTGGAAAGGATTAGCCTTACCTAATATGAAATCACCTCTGGCACAATAAAATCCGGATAAGGTGTGGCTGTGGAAACTACCTCCTTCGGTAGAATTTACCTCACGGGTAAAGTAGCCTGAAGGTTGGACCAAGTACCTAAATTAAGGATCACGTGAGCAGAATAACATTGAAAATCAGAGAGTTTAAATAGAGGACTCACAAGCGGGTCTTAGGTATGGCAATGAGTGGGGAACCTATGGGCAGAACCTTTAAATAGACAATGACTAAAGTTGTACGTGTGGCTTATTGTACTCTCGTTGATATGTTACTGTAAACCCTTCTATAAAAATATGGACTGCAAATACTTTAATAATAAAGGGAAACCCCCCGACTAATGAGGTCGTTCTATAAACCGTAAAAAAAAAAAAAAAAAAAATTTAATTTGATATGTTTCGATTTTATTTAAATTATTTATTTCTTATTTTATTTGGTTTTTATTTTTCACTCATATAATTTGATATTTATAATTTTGTATATCTTTAATATAATCGAACTAATTCGAAATCTATTAATTTAATCATAAATTTATTAATTATTTTAGCTTCTAAGTCAGCATCGATCATACAGAAGTTATATTACTTTGACCTAGTGTTTTGTAAAAGATCCGGGTTCGGTCCGGTCCATTGACGGACCGAGTTCAGACCCATGATATATCAGAATCAATACGGTTTCGGACCCACACGAAGGTCCGCCTGGGTAATACCTGGTCCAGTATATTAGAATAATATTGAACGCTGATTGGTTAATTTCGATTTTTTTTTTTTTTTAAACCAAGCTTAATTGAGCTAAAATGATTAGAATAAACAAAGGATGCTATTTTGCATTCTGGTCTCAAATAATAATAAAGACCTTCTATAAATGCGATTTAACAATAACGATAAAAAAAAAAAACTAAAAAGAAAAAACTTTATTTAGTAAAAGCCGCACTTAAACCTGCAGTTTAAAACTTACGTATGCTTTTTTTTTAAAAAGCATGAGAAAAAGCCAGTGACAAAACTTGAGCAAAAAGCTTGAGCATGGGAAAAACTTGATAAAAAAACCCACAAAAAAAAAAAAAAAAAAAAATTAAATAAATACTTATATTTAGAAAAAAAACCTGCACCTTTTTTTTTTATCATAATATGGTTTTTCTTCTTTAATACATTAAAATCTTACGCTTTAAACTTCCTCGATGTCAACAAATTCACATCCTCAAGAGAATTTGAAGAACGTGAGCCATCAGTTTCATACTATGGTAAATTTTACTCAGGTGATCTTTACCTAGATGAACCTTACCTGCACCAAGATGAATCATACCAAAGCGATTTATACCAAGATGAGTCGTATGAAAATGTATCAAACCAAGATGATTCATACCAAGATGAATTACGTCCTGACGAATCTCACCAAGGTGAACCACATCAAGATGAATCTTGCCCAAATAAATCATCATCCCAAGTAGAACCTTCAACTTGCGATGAAGCAAATAAAGAGTAATACAGTATATACAAAGATTTACTTTAAAATATATGTCGTGGCTGATGCTGAAATTTGGAGTTTCGATTTAAAAATATAAACCCTGCTAAAATTCACATATACTCATTAATTATCAATTCTAGCCCTAAATCCTAACCTAACTCTAAAAAAAAAAAGGCGGACAAAAACATCACAAAAAAATTTTCACATTTTCATATTAAAATAGTTCCGAATTTTTGCATCAGCCGTTTTCAGCATCAGCTGCGACAATATATATATCAAATATATATATATATTTTTTTATTTATCAGCCTTTTATTTTATAAATCCATAGTGTGGAAGTATTTTAAGAAAGCAAAAGACAATGCTACATGTGGTATTTGCAACAAGTCGCTGGTCTATAACAATGGAACAACATCAAATCTTTTAAAGCATCTCAGAAGACATAAAGGCAAAGTGTCTGAACTGAATGAATCAAATGTAAAAAATGGTGCTAATGTTTTGAAAATATTAAAAGCCAACCAATGTGAACCCTTCAGCCAACAAAAATTTACTGACATGATAAAAAAGTGAATTGTAAAACGTAATCGGTCGTTTCAAATTATTGAAGATGACAAACTTAGGTCTATATTTAGTTACTTAGAACCTAAAGCAGTTGGTAATATTTCATCTAATAGTATATTTAATATATTAATGTTATTGTAAAATAAATATAAATAAAGAGTTTTTTTTTTAGTACCTTCTGCTAACCTTATAAAACAACATATTATGAACAATTCCGAAGGAGAGCGTGAACAGCTTCAAAAAAAATTGCAGGAGGTTCCCGGACGTATAGCTATAACCACTGATATTTGGACAACTTCGACTAATGAAAAGTCATTTATGGCTGTTACGATTTATTATCTAAAGCAATCATGGAAATTAAAACATATTCTTCTTGATTTTATTTTTATGGAGGATACACATACAGGTGTTGCAATTGCGAATGCTATGGAAGACTGTCTTTAAAAAAATGGAATACTTTCAAAAATAATATCAATAATCTGCGATAATGCATTTGCCAATATAAAGTTTCTACGCGATTTTTCCAATTCTATATGTATGGCTGGTTTTAAATTTAATAGTGCGCAGCAATCAATACGATGCTTTAATCATGTCTTAAATCTTGCTGTTCAATGTATCTTAAAGGTTTTAGGAAATGAAGTAGAAAAGGTTATCAATATTAAAATTTTAATGTTTCATGTGTTCTATATTATAATTTATTTGCATTATCTTATTGTTTGTCACGGATCATAATTTAAAATGAAATCTACATTTTCTACTCAATCTGTTAACCTTCTAAAACCTACTTATACTTGTTTATTATAACTTTACTTTAAAACTAACCCCTAACTCTAACCCCTATCTCTAAAAATGCACCCTAAAAAATTTTATTTTTCGAGATTTTATATTATAATTTCATTTTAATCTGGATTTCATTATGATCCATCACATTGTTTAACGGGTTCGAAGCATATAGTTATGTTAATATGCATTCGAATGTTTTTTTGTATTAACTCTGAGTAAGATCCCAGTAATGCTTTATATTTATAGTTTTTTTTTTTATTTAGTTGCGTGGATTAATAAGAAGTATTAGAAGATCATGAAGATACCGCAAAAGGTTAAAGCTATCGAGCCAATTCTTGATGTACCGACACGGTGGAACTCCATCTTTTATATGTGTAAATGAGCATTAAAGCTGCAAACAGTGTTGGATGCTATGTCTTTTGCTGAAACAGAATTACGCCAATGAGTTTTGGCTGAGAAAGAATAGAAAATAATAGAACTTCTTGTAAATGTTTTATTACCCTTTAAGGATGGTAGTATATTTTTATATAGTATTGAAATTTATTGTATAGTTAAGTATTATAGAACGAAATATTTATTATAGTTTTAATCAATTTAACGACCATAGTTATGTCATCATCAGAATATC